GTGTTTTAATAGGTAGAAAAATAAATCAACAATTAAAATTATTTAGTGAATGATATCTCTTTACTGTGTGGAAGGTGAGCTAAACTAGCGGTAAACTTATATTCTCACTTTTGAATAGCATTTTCTTTCGGTATTGTTTCGATGCTTTAGATTTTCCCGCTTGACACAGCAGAAGTGTTTCCCCACTTTAAAGACAATATCTAGATTGATTTGCAATAAAGAAAAGCTCTTACAAAAAGAAAATTATTCAAAACACGGGAGGCAAACCATCAACTTATCACCTCCCGTTGCACCCGTTTGTGTATCATTTCAGTAATTTCTGTTTCTCTTGTTTTTCTTTTCGTGTTTATAGTTTTCATAGGTGTGTGGTTTCTTTCCAATTTATTTTTAAATGTCAGTTTCAAGCTGTCACACGTATACACAGACGAGAATTGAAAATGAAGAAGCTATACTCTTACCGCCTTCCTGATATCGATTTTGACTTTAACTTAATAATAGTCCATTATATTACTACTGTTATTATTACTACTATTATTAAGCATCCTCTTAGAATAATGTCTTCGACCTTATTGCATGTGTGTGTATGGGCGTGGAATGTTTTGTCTTCCGTAATATTAGGTTGTCATTACATTTTGATAACACTATATAGTACCTTACACTGAAATTAGGGTAGATCCCCACAAAATCCAATCCGCAACTCATAGATGGCTACTAGATGGATGTCATGAAGTTCTAGGGAAAAGTGGTGAGATCCACCGTTTCTGAATGAAGTAAATGCTTCCGAATCACATTGGCTAGTAGTAGCGCTCTATCACAGAGGTTAGAATTCATGGCTCATTGAATTTCCAACCGGTTACTAAATGATCAACAAGCCGGCCTGTGATGATAGCCTAGGGGTTGCGGGTTCGATCTCTTGTGGAGTAGTTGTAGGTGCGCACTGTTGAGGAGTCTGAAACTAGAACTAAACAGTTATCCAGTGCTCCTATGTTAGCTGACATAGGTTCAGGCTGGAAAAGAGCTAGCGGCGGTCAAACCAAAACATGGCACCAGTCAATGAAATCCACAACAGTTAGTTTAAGCCACGTAGGAAGGTGTAGACTTCCTGACTGGTTTGGGTCCTCGGGACGATTTGAACTGGCGAATTGAACTGCTGCACATCGGTGCAAATTTCTATGTTGAAAACAGTCAGTAAGACAAAGTGCTCCATTAGTTCACATCGATTTTCTAACTGATTTCGGTTCGTGATAAAATCAACACCTAAAATTAGTCGAAATCCCTACCAGCACTCTTAATCTGTATAATACTTTTAGATTTAATTAAACTGGATTAATGTTTTTCTGCACTATCTCATGTTTTTCCAAAAATTAACTCTTTAATAAATATGCATTCCGATGTAACTCGCTTCATATTAGTGTACACGTGTATGCTCTTCCTAATGAGATGTTAACACATGACCACTGTATCATATATAGGGATTATCAGATGATTTGTGCTGTACTATCAGATAGTTGACAAATAAATCAATATAGAACTTCACCACACTTTTTCTTTTACAGTAGTTTTAGTTTTGCATACTTCGAACGAGCCTCCGCTCTCCTCAACGAAAAACGTTGGCTGACAGTGCATTAATATATGGAAGTCTTTGACTGTTGGCTTTAGCCGTGTAGAGAGGTGTAGACTGCCTGATTGGGGTCATCTGGATGCTAAGAGCCAGTTGCCTGATAGTGCTTTTCATATGGCTCAAGACTATTCTTAGTGATGCAGATTCATTCACTCTTTGTAGCCTCCCAGATTTATTAGATCCGTCTTTCCATGTTACTATTCTTTCTCTCATGCATTTATGTTCATTATGTATCCTTTGACGTTTCTTTCCACTAGTGCGTCGGTGGCACAGTGGTTAGGACTCTCGCCGACCATGCACATGGTCCGGGGTTCGAGCCCACGCCGACGAACACCTGATATCTATGGTCGGCCTGCAAAATTTGGGCTACCGATATCCATGCTGAAAATTCCATACTTGTACCGAAAATACGGTGTGGAATCAAGCTGTAATCAAAAAAATAGTTTTGTATGCTACATGAAATGTGGCAACTTGAACTGTAGTATGTTATACGTTAAAACTCAGTCAGTAGGTCAGCCTCCTTCGAAACACCCCAAAAATCATTCAACTTTTCATGCCAGATGTCTAACCTGATTCTGAGTCACTGTCAGTCTTTCTCAGTTTCAGTCTAGTGAATATGACTCTGACTACCTGATTTAATTTTATGTGGTAGGTTGTAACCTAAATAATAAGGTATATATGCTGAATTGTGGGTGCGTCGGTGGCACAGAGGTTAGAAATCTCGCCGACCATGCACATGATCCGGGATTCGATCCCCTAACGACACACACCTGATATCAATGGTTGGCCTGCAAAATTTGGGCTACCGACATCGCATGCTGAAAATTCCATTATTATTATTATTATTATTATTATTATTATTATTATTATTATATCCTTTAATTCCTAGAGGAACATAGGGCTTCGGCTGCGCGTCTCCATTGCCTTCGGTTTTCTGCCAACTTTTTCACCCCGCTCCAAGTCTGCCTACATGCTTTCATCTCCTCTTCACATAACCTCCTCCAAGTCACTTTATCACTGACGACCAACTCGCCGCTTCGCTTTCGGGTTCCACTCGAGCAATGGCTTGTCTAGTGATGTCACTTAATGGTTTCCTCAGCGTATGGCCAATCCATCTCCATTTCTTCCTGCATATTTGTTTCACAATTGATTCCTGGTTAGTTCGCTCATTGCCAGAGATTCCTGTTGCTGATCTTTTCTGGCCAGCCATCTGATCTTGAGTATTGGGCGAAGACAACTGTGAATGAAGGTCTGAAGTTTGTTTGAGATGCTCATTATGACGCGCTGGCCAAGTCTCTGATCCGTATAGTGAGTAGGACTGACTGACTTCACATTGGAGTTGAAAATCCGGATGTTATTTTTGATGGTGAGTGCTGTTGATCTCCTCCACACAGACTTGAGAATGATGAAAGCTTGTCTTGCTTTTCCGATTCTGGCTTTGATATCCTCGTCAGTTCCGTCCGTCTGTGGTTGAAACGATGCTTCCCAGGTAGGTAGGTAGGTAGGTAGGTAAAGGAGGTTGTTTCTTTCTGGTTCCTCCTATTTATGCAGATTGTTGTCTGTTATTGTTGCAGTTGCTGTTGTCCAGGAATCTTCATCACCTCTGTTTTATTTATGTTCACCTGAAGAAAGTCCTATCTTTGATGCTTGTTCTGCCAGCTTGTTGCTTTTCACTTGCATATCTTCCAGTTTGTGGGAAATCAGACATATATCATCGGCGAAGTCCAGATCCTCCAAGTTGTTTTTTGTGTGAGTCCATTTTATGCCTGTTCCCTCGTTGGTTGCCGTTGTCTGTCACATTATCCAATCTACTGCAATCAGAAGATCATTGGTGATAGTAGGCAGCCTTGTTGCACTCCCGTCCTCACTTCGAAGGGTTCCGTAAGTTTCCCGTTGTGGATTACGTGGCATGCAGCATTGTCGTTTTAACTGTTGGATGAGATGTATAATTGTCGATGGCACCCTGTAGTAGCGAAGTAGTTTCCAAATGACCTCTCGATGGACAATGTCGAAGGCCTTTTCAAAGTCGATAAATGAAAATTCCATACTTGTACCAAAAATACTGTGTGGTTTCAAGCTATAATCAAAAGAAAAAATAAAAATAAATCAGTTGTACATTTACAACGTATTTCTTGAGAATTTTACTGCCTAAATCAATTTATCAAATCCTCAATATGAAGATTTTTCTGGACACTTGAATCAACCATTCATTTGTGATGCTGATAGCTCTCATATCGAAATGCATTTTCATGTTTAAAGTCAGTGGGATTCATTTTAGTTTACCAAGTCTAAGCATAATAACAAGTTATTGTATCTACTGAATTATGACAGAACAGAGGTGTATAAATAATGTTTACATACTGTCAATTACAATAAAATATAAGCCCTATTTTAAATGCATAATGGTTGTTTGTAATGCGAAGACAGGACTCCATGTGAACATAAACAAAACGGAGGTTATGAAAATAACCAACCACCACCACCACCAACAACAGCAGCAACATCCAGCGCCAATCACCATCAACGGGAGGGATTCGAAAGAGGTTTTTTACTTCATTCACTTATCTATGGAGAATCATCCCAACTACAGGCAGTCGGAACGGACGAGGATGTCAAATCAAGAGAGAATCGGGAAGGCGAGAAACACACACATTCATCAACCTGAAACCAATCTGGAAATCTTCGTCACTCGGCCAGCATCAACAACAAAATTCGGTCGGATTTTCAATACAAACTTCAAGTCAGTCAGTTCTTCTATACGGATCGGATCAGAATTTTGGCGGGGGGCGGGCGGGTCACAAGGAATATTTCCAACAGGCTGTCTATTGCATACCTTTATCAACAAGTAACTGTCAGCTATCGCTCTATACTGAATGAAGATCAGATGGCTGGGCCGGGCCGGAAAGAATCACAATCACCAACTGTGGGAAACTATGGGAACAAACAAAATAAGAACCAACAACAATAGCCCAACAAATATGCAGGAGAAAGTGGAGGGAGATGGATTGGACACTCGCTCGCTGAGGAGGCCGCTGGGTGACATCGCACGCGAGTCAGGCCATTGGTCGAGTGGAACCAGGCCGAAAGGGAAGCGGCGAATGGGACGTCAGTGCAAGGGTGGGTGATATGGAGGAGATTGTGTGAAGAGGAGGAGGAGTTGAAAGACTGTGGACTAACATGGATTCAGATGAAAAGTACAGCAGGAGGAAGACAGAAGTGGCAAGTGGAGACGTGCAGTTGAAGCTCTATGTTCCACTAGGAACCCAAGGAAACAATAATAATGATGGTTGTTTAGAAAATTTTTCGCTTTATCATGTTTTTTCTAACCTTTTGAAACTATTTCTCAAGTGCTTTTCTTCCTTAAAAATTTTAATTGTAGAAAATCCTAGTTCGTTTAAGTTCAGATGAAGATTTGAAGTTATCTGACACCCTGCGTTATTATGCAATCGATACAGGTGCTGCACGTGCATTGCTATATCGTCGATGTCGTGCTCTAGCAGACTATGAAGCTGCTAATCGTAATCTTGATAAAGCACGTGCACGTATGAAAGATGTTCAAGCGGCAGAAGATGCACAGACTGCAGCCAATGAACGATTTAAATCTATATCGGAATCAGCTAAGCTAGGTAAGTAGTCAAAGGTTTTTTATGAATAGATATTTTTTATACTCATTATATCAGTCGAATTAATAATTCAGCAATTCGGGCGAAGAATGCTTGCCAACTGAGCGGGGAAGGTCTGATGTACTTCTAAATCTCTCCTGGCCGTTATGAAACCTGGGAAAGGGCAACGTTAAGCGTATGGCTAGCAACCCTTACGCCGTAAGAACAGAGCCATTGCTACGTAAACTTTATAGGTCAAATCTTGAAGCTCTATGTTCCAGTCGGAACGCAAAGAATACTAGGAAATTCCTGTGAAAAAACACATTTTAACAAGTTAATGAAATGAAAGAATCCAGTAAAGATCAGGACAATGGTTTGTCAATTCGTATTGTTTATCTTCACAATAAATCTGTGACTCTTTGACTGAACACTAGTAACTAGTGTGACGTTTCTAGTACTTTCTTTGGTGCAGACTGAATTTAATTAATCAGGTTTGCAATGTGGCCACCATTCTAGGTAGCTGGATGCCACGGTGCACACTGATTTGATTATATTAGATAGTTGGAGGCAATCGGCCACAGGAAGCCTTGGACCTAGGTTTCGTGTAGTTGGCACCCATCAGCAAGGCGCAGCTGCAACCTTGAAGGAACTCATGTCCCTTCTGAGATTCGAAACCGCGTCACCCAGTGCTGCAGTCAGAGACGTTACCGCTGAGCTATTTGGGCTCGTGATTGACCTCCTGTAGGACTGTAGTTACTAGTGTCCAATCAAAATATCCACTACAGTCCTACAGGAGGTCAATCGCGAGCCCAAATAGCTCAGCGGTAACGTCTCTGACTGCAGCACTGGGTGACGCGGTTTCGAATCTCAGAAGGGACATGAGTTCCTTCAAGGTTGCAACTACGCCTTGGTGATGAGTGCCAACTACACGAAACCTAGGTCCAGGGCTTCCTGTGGCCGATTGCCTCCAACCATCAAATATCATCATATCTGTGACTCTTTATCACATCAGTCAATTACTGCTTCACATAGGATTGTGTTGATAAAGGGACTTGGAATTCTGCACACAGAGAGGTACGTCAGTTTGAGTCCATCACAATTGAAAAATATCTCTATCGACTGACCTTTGGATGTTAAGCAGTTTCATTAAACCTCATGCAACAAGAGGTATACATAGATCATTGGTAAATCTGCAGGGATACGTTTATTTCTTAGGTTCATGAACAATTCCCATTTGGACATAAATGAGAACAAAACACATAGTTCACCGAAGAGTCTCTTTTCGGTGAATTTATTCACTCAGCTGTACAATCGCAGTTATATATACTTATTTTTGTATATATGTGTGTATACATTGGCTTTGTTAGACAAGAATAACAATTAGTTGGGGTTGCTGTTTACGTCAGCAAAGTATTTCAGAAAATGTAATGATTAAACATATTGTAACTAAAGGGGACGGTGAATATTAGTAAGAGGGTGGTGACGATGAGATGTTAAAAAATAGTTGCTGATGTTGGTCAATGCATAAGAGAAGTTAAATAAGAGGAATACAGTTACGTAATAAGATGAATAATTTAATAAGTCGGTTTTGATTAGGGTGTACATAAAAACGGAGGAAAACGTGGAATTATTTAAGATTTGTATAGAAATACAAGAGTTATAAGGAAAACAAGCATACAAATATCAAATAAGCAGAAGTCAACACGGTTGTTACCATGATAGTAGGAGTGGTTGGATGATTTTCTTTTGTATACATAACTGTGGTTTTTCCAACTGAATGCCTAAGGCTTCAGCAATACAGCTAGGAGACGAAAACGTATTGTCTTTGGTAGGTTATTCACTTTGTAGATCACTTTGAAGGAGGAGTTTGTTTAGGTGGAATTGCAAGTGTTGACGAGATGTTCGATTATCGTGCTGCTTATAGAACCACTACTACCTTTTTGCAACCATGCTGCGGGATAATGTTCTCGAATCCTCTTGGACAGGATACGCATCGAACGACCAGTGTACCCGTCTACACAGCAACAGGTAAACGCATATCTGCAAATAGAAGTGGTCAGGTCCTTAAGGCTTCTGCAGATCAGCGGGTGACTGGAGAACACTACTTTTAGTGTTGTTGCGAAGAAAGTTCTTAAAGAAGTGGAAATTCCCCTTCTAAGGACATTACTGAGTAGGTCACCTTTCAAGTCGAGGTTCATATAAAGCATCATTTTTGGCACAGCCGGCGTCTCTCACTTTTGGATTTTCTGTTTGATGTTTTTGTCTATGAATCTTGGTGGATATTCGTTTGGCATGGATTCGAATCTCAATGGGGACATAAGTTCCCTCAAGATTGCATGTAGGCCTTTCTCAGTGGCGAGTGCCAACAAGCATGAGACCTAGGTCAAGCAAGACTACCTGGCGATTGCCTTTAACCACCTAATAACAAGGTAACACCTATTTAAATGGGAAGAGACGACTGGGTCGTCTGAAGGTGACATGGAGGAGATGAGAGATTATGGGCAATCGTGGACTCAAGCGGAAGGGAACAACATCAAATAGAACAAGGTGAAGATGTTGTTGAAACCCTGTTCCACTTGAAACCTGTTTAAATTCAGAAAATAGTAGGAAACAAGTGCAACTACAAATATATCCTGTCATATGTCTGTACCAATTGATGAAATCCTAGTAAATTTGCCAAGTTTTTCTTTGAAAAGCTGCGTAGAATTCTTCTCTCCATATAGTTTTGCACATCATTTTATTCTGCTCTTTAACACATACCAGATATTCTCGACTGCATGTAAACGACATGTTGCTAGCCTATTCGAATAAATTAGAATAAATGTATTCAAATAACTAGTGTCATTCATGATTTTATGTCTTTGCAGTCGCTTAACAACATGTCGTTTACTGTCAGTGATAATCTCACTATCAGTTAACAACAACCCACACCTCTCTTTCTAATTCAGAAAGTGAGTTAACTGGCCAGGTAGTGTGATGATAACATAACATTCCATTCACTCATGCGATAGTTGAATGTTACCTGTGATGATTTCAGGTGGAATGATGATCAGCTTGTTAGTCGGATCTCGTAGGTTAGCTGGTAGGTCGCTAGTTCGAATCCTGCCACGATCAAGTTTATGTTATTTTGTCTGTTTGTCTCTGTCTGTTTTCGACATAGAACTTTGCACCGATGTGCACCAGTTCAAGTCGCCACACTCCCTCAGATTAGCACACAAAGCAAAAGAAGAAATTAGAAGAAATGCATAACAGAGACAGTAAACAGAAGTAACGAAGAACAATGTAGTTTCGTTGGAAATCATAAGTCACAAGGAGTGGATGTATCTGCGCCAGCCATTGAGAACGATTTTGAGCCATATCACCAATTGTTTCCAACCATTGGTTTTTACTGTCCCGAGGACCCCAACCAGTCAGGAAGTCTACACCTTCCTACGTGGCTTAGACTAACTATTGTGGATTTCATTGACTGGTGCCATGTTTTGGTTTGACCGCCACTAGCTCTTTTCCAGCCTGACCCATCCTATGTCAGCTAACATTGCCCATCAGTCGAGGAAGGCGATGACTAGGCATACGTAACACATGTTCTAACCAACTCAGTCGATGTAATTTCACAGCCTCGTCGATTGATTTCCTCTTCTTACCTAGAACTCGACCGATGCCTAACCTCAATATTGTTCACCTTATTATACCACTTCACACGGGAGATAGAACGCAGGCAGCTATGATCGAAGACAGCTAATGTTTTCATGCCTTCCACTATCAATGGCCAGGTCTCACAGCTGGCCATAAAGGAAGACGGAGCGGACTGCTGAGCAGTACACCCGCCTTTTGGTCGATAGCCAGCCGGATATCTCGTCTACGCCAGAGACGGCGTAAACTGGGAAATGCGAAACGAACCTTCTGTATCCGTGCTGAGATTACCTTCAGTTGTCACCCATTACGTGAAGATCGATCTGTTAATTCAAGGCTTTATCTCAGCTTCACCACCAACTTTCATCGATTACCCTCTTGAATACTCTATGAATATAAAGAAACCATGTGCTCAGCGCTTTTTAACTTGTGACGTCTTCGCATTCTTTGTTAAAATGTGATCACCATTCATAGGTTTTTTTTCGGCTACATAAATTTCATTAGAGCCTGCCTCTTTGATTCATGAAGACCTGTTTTTTTTAAAAAAAGAATCCGAATGACTGAGTATTACTTAGTTTTCAGCGTAAAACTTAGCGCAAAAGTAAAGCAGTTTAAGTAACCATACTCCATTTATCACACAAAGGAGCCTCATAATGACCAGAAATGTGCGAGAAAAGGAATAGTTACGCGGAGATTCTGAAGAATAAATAAAACATTATATATAGTAGTTTTTAAACATTCCCGTTTGTTAAGGTGATTTACTTTGTATCACACTGCCCCCACCCGGACAGATAGCCGTTTCCTTGACATGGTGATTGGGTTTACGCATCACAATGATCCAGCAAGCTACATTGGCTGGAATTGATGTTTCAGTTGGTCCAACCAAGTCAGAAAGATCGTTTAGGTAGCGGTTAGACTAAAAGCAGTTACCACAATAATGTAAGTTGTTTACACTATCTCTGTTGGGCGTCTGTGGGAAGATTCGTAGTGCTGGCGAGTACGGATGATACATGAGGTTTGGTGGTGGTGTTCCCCTCAGACAACCAGCAAGCCAGTTATTGCTTCCTGCCTGCTCCAGGGAGGAAGGCTAGAAAATATTGGCTCTGAAAATTGTAAATCCTGACTTACCCTATGGCGGTCTGTAATTGGCGGTAAGATCTTCGATCTTCACACGGACATACCTTCAAAACCCTATTTATTCAGTCACATTTCACATTTACTTATTACAAGTGGATATGACTCATTGGTTCAACTCATTAACAACTTCCAGCCAGTGGCTTTAGGGTTTGATTCCTATGTCAATCCAATCTACTTCGATTTAGGCACGGTAACTGAATAGTGTCAACAGCCCTCACATAATAGTTATGGCTGGATATCCTGGTGCTTGATACAATCTATTTATGCATTGTTTTTGTTGAGTTCTGTTCCAGTGTTTATTCAAGTTCAACTATGTCTAGTAATTAACGACAGTAGTAGACATGTTTTATAATTTAGAAAAAAAGTATCGACGCACTGTTTTATACGTTCACAATTGTGCATAAATTATGCGACTGATCAATATTTATGTCGGTATGCTTAGGTGCATAATAATAATAATGATAATAATGGTAATGTTTGTTTTGTTTTCAAAAGCCAACTGGGGTTCTTTCTAACTATTCGATTTCGTTTTGATAATTTTGCATACATCAACTTCCATATGACTGCAATATATTTCACTTTGATATATACATGACTCTAAATTCTGATTCCTATAGACTACACTGTCGACTGGTCAGATGAAATAAAAAAACAAGATATTTATTACCTTTCTAGTATTTACGTTGAATTTATTCTGCAATTGAAATCTCTGTGTGTATATCAGTAAGCTGTATGTTTAATCACAGTTATCAAGTGTTGGTTTGAAGGGATTTGATTGGTTACAGTTTTGATAATGAATTGAAATCATTTAGAGAACCATTGGAAAACCTGGGAGTACTGGACAGCTGTTTTGTCCTAATTTCGAATTCTTCATCAGTACTCACCCACTAGAGTTCGAACCTAGTACGTTCCGGTTACGGGGGGAGCTTGCGGATCATTCAACCACTGGGACCGATCCCATGGCCTTTGAAACCAACTGCTGCCAATTCGTGATACTTACAGTGCACTCGCTAGCCAGTGTCATAAGCGAGTAAATGTTCTCTTATGTGACATAAATTCCTTTATAGAACCAGTCACTAGTGAGGTTTAGTCATGTTTGTAACCGATCAAAATCCCCCTGCATATTAACTCTTGAGAATTGTTTGAAGTGTTTGTGACTCGGTCCTTTGAAATTAGATGAATAACTTTAAAAGTTCTGGATTTCATCATGAGCTGACATTGGTTAGAGAACCATTGAAAACCTGAAAGTACTGGACAACCGTTACGTCCTAGTTCGCGACTCTTCATCAGTATGCACTCGCCGGGATTCGAGCCCAGGACCTTCCGGTTACAGGGTGAGCTCCTAGACCATTAAGCCACATGGGCCCGATCCAATGGCCCATGAATTCTAACTTCTGCCAACTCACGACCCCGGCGGGTGCATACTGCTGAAGGGTCCCAAACTAAACAGCTGTCCAGTACTATCAGGTTTTTATTTTATTTTTTATTATTTTTGATTACAGCTTGTTGCCACACCGTATTTTCGGTACAAGTATGGAATTTTCAGCATAGATATCGGTAGCCCAAATTTTGCAGGCCGACCATAGATATCAGGTGTTCGTCGGCAGGGGATCGAACCTCGGACCATGTGCATGGTCGGTGAGAGTCCTAACCACTGTGCCACCGACGCACTGATTTCCAATGGTTCTCTAATCAATGTCAGCTCATGATGAAATCTGGTAACGAATCAAATCCCTACAAACCAACATTTAAAAGTTGTGTTGTTAATTTCTACTTGATTTCCCATATCAACACGATGAGATAGTGTACACTTATGTTTCGCTTTAGTCGATTGTTTTCCTAAAAGTATTGATTTCGTCTTCTCTCTTTTGTCTGTGTTATTACTTGTTATATTGTGATAGAATGTTTTTAGGCATTAATCCTGCATCGGGTCTAGTTCAAAATGAAATTCTCATACTTTATATCATTATGACAGTCTTTTTACATCTTTTTGTTTTGATTATTTTCCTTTTCTTTAGAATTAGAAGATTTCAAAGTTCGTCGAATTAAATATTTTCATAAGAATTTAGCTGATCTTGCTGAACTAGAAGTTAAACACGCCAAGGTGAGTTTCTCTCAATTATGCAAAAAGAGTGTGTACTGTTAACTGACTAAAATATTCAGTATACAGAAGTGAAACAGTTCAACTTGCCACATTCCATGTAGCACATAAAGGTCGACGAAAGTGAGAAAAAAAGGGATTAGAAATTATTATTATAATAAGCAGAAATGTACGGGAGAAAGAATAGTAACTTGATGAAATATTAAGGTTGAACGGATACGGCAGCTCACAGAGACTGGATGCATCTGCACCATTAAGAACGATTTCGAGCCATGTCACCGCTGATTGTCTCCAGCCATCGGTTCTTACTATCCTATCCCGAGGACCACAAACAGTTAGCCTTCACGTCTCTGCGTGACCCAAACCCATTGTTAAAGATTTCTTAAACTGCTTCCAAGTTTTGGTTTGACCACCGGTAACTCTTTTTCAAACTGATTGTATGTCAGCTAACATTACTCGTCGAGGATGCTGATGTCTAGGCATGCGTAACACATGTCCTAGCCATCTCAATCAACAGTAACATGACGGTGTAGTCGATACGGGTGATCACGAAGAGTGAATGTATCTGCATCACTGAGAACAATTTCGAACCAAGTCACTAATTGTCTTCAGTCATTGGTTCTTAGCACCCTGAGGACCCTAATCAGCCATTCTGTGTAGTCAGGTTCTTTTTGACATCTTTGAATAGGATGAAAGAAAGAGAAGTAACAAATTATATACCATCATCATTTAAGACTTAAAGTAGTGTCGATTAATGCGACAGTTTTCATGATATCAAATGGTGTACTTGATCTCTATTTTGCGACTGTTTAATTGTTGTGCTTTATTTTTGAACTGAAAGAAGTCGTGAACCCTAACCTTGGTGACTAAATGATAACATTATCACAATAAAACTTGATGGTCCTGTTAAAGAAATTAAAAAAATAGAACGAGACAACCTTTTCAGCCTATCTTAATCTTCAAGCCCAACAACTCAGATTAATTGACTGTGTTGAAAATCGCTTTCACTACACCAGAATGGTTATTGGGCGTTCTTTCTTTATTTTTTTCTTCGTGTAAACATCACACAAAACTTTCCTGTTAATTTTAAATATACAGAACACTGAGGTAATGGAGACACTAAACCAACAACAAAGACCAGTCTTTATAAATGGAGGAAATTCAGAAGAACTAGTCTTTTTTACTTACGTAACCTGTACAGCGTCTGTCCAACTATAGGAGACAGCATGGATGAGGATATCAAAGCTAACTATAATCAGACCAGAAAAGTAATACAGGTGCTCATTACTCTAAAATTAGTGTTAGAGATCTACAGCGTTTAGCGCAAAGTAAGAACAGTGATCTGAATTTTCAACACTAATAGCAAGGGAGTGCTTCTGTATGCTTCAGCAGAGACTTGGTACGCGTGTCATCGGAAGCACTTCCAACAGGCTGTGAATGTCTATGACCACCTAACTTCACTGGCTCACAATACTGAGGATCAGATGTCCGGTGAGAAGGGATAAACCATGAGGCACCCTTGCAGACGACAAATCAGCCAACTAATATGCGAAAGGGAATCGAAACTAGACTGTTGATTGACTTATATCATATGCAAGGTGGATTCTCAAATCGGACGTGAATATGAATGAATGAGTTGGGTGTGTGTCTGAGGATGACATGGAGGATATCATTCTGGAAATAAATTAAAGCTTGTGGTTAGTTGTGGAGTCAGTTGAAATTGACGACTGCGTACAATGAAGATATGCCACTTAGGCTGTGTGTTTCGCTTGGAACGCAAGAAAAAGATAGAATAATAAAGTGTCTAAATACAAAAGTCACTCAATTGACTGATATAATTATAGCTCATCGCCTTGCCTAAATGTTTTGCTTAATTACAACTGACTACCACCTAGAAGTATCAGGTGTTGGTTTGTAGGGATTTGATTGGTTACAGTTTTGTTCACCAGTTAACACAAGTTAGAGAACCATTGGGAAATATGGGTGTACTGGGAAGCTGTTTTATCTTAGCTTAGGACTCCCTAGTAGTACTCACCCGCTGGGGTTCGAACCCAGTACCTCCCGGTTACAAGGGGGAGCCCGTAGACCATTAAGCCACTGGGATCCGATCCGATAACCCATGAATTATAACTACTGCCAATTCTTGACAACTGATAGCTAATTCCATAGGCGAGTATCTGCTGCCTTACGTGAGTTGGTGAACCCTATTGGTTTCGACTTCTGACTAGAGGCTAAGAATTGTTTAATGCTTATTTTATGTTATTCAAATAATGAATTACAGTGTTACTGTCTATTTTCATATATATATATATATATATATATACGTATAGTCTAATATCGTGTATTCAATTTGTTTTATTATATTCATATTCACATGTTGTTTACGTGTGTTTCTCTCCTTGGTTTAGTCACAAATTGAGTTAATTAAATCCACACTCATACGATTAAAGTCAATCACTCCACAAGTGTCAAAATCACCAAACACTACAGTACAGTCGGTGACTCGTTCACACAGTAGCAGCAATAATTCAACAACTTCTACCACTATGAATAATAATAATAATAACAATATAACATATCCTTCAAATACTTCACCTGATTCCAATTATCCTACAGCTGATTAATTAAAAAAAAAATTTTTTTTTTTGAGAATGTGTTCATCTCAGTCAATTACCTTACCTCTCTCTCTCTCTGTCTCACTATCCTTTTGTGTATCTCATCTCAGTTGCGTGAAAAGCCAACATCCAATCAACAACAGCCTTATCTCAGTGATATATCAGTAATCAAAAAAAAAGCAAAAACAAAAAACAACTTTAGTTGTTCTTCACATATATGAATATTTTCTATGGCCTTATGGAGTAATCGTCTGATTTTATCTCTTTTGCTTTGCATATCTACACTCACTCTACACAAGCGCATCTATCTATCTCCTATCTATTTGTGTTCTATTCACGTGTTTAAGTGCTTACCTTCTCGATTTTCTCACTATATATATATATATATATATATATATATATATATATATATATATATATATATATATATGTGCATGTGACTGTGTATTGAGTTAGGTATCAATTATTCAAGGTGTCAAGCTTAATTGCCGGTAGGGTGGAGGGGGGGTAATAGTGGCATTACAACGGTGATGGGTTGAAGGTGTGTGTGTGTGTGGATGGATCAGCAGTACGCTTTAATTTAAATTTCGACCACATTTTTATTTCTACAAGAAATTAATTTTGCACATTATTTTTAAAACAAAACTTTTTGTGATCTCTATTCCCCGATGAAAAAAAATAAGAATAACATAAGTTTGTTTATTACTGTGATCAAAATTATTGACACTTTGACTTTATAACTTGACTCATCTTAACAGATTGAAGAAGATATATAAAGACAAAACCTACAATCTAATTGATTCTTTCTCACTCTCTTTTTTCTTTTGTTATCTTTTTCATTTTATTTGATTTTTTTTAACCTGGTGTTTTTGTGGTTTTGCCAACCTAAGGAGCGTGTGTGTATGTGTGCATGTGAAGGAATGATGGGTGGGGTTTTTTATTTCTTGCATATTTATATCTGTTTGTGAGTGTGTGTGTGTTTGTACATTGATTTGCTATGTGAATAAATTAATTATTTTATGTATTCTCACTTGTGATGAATTATTTTTATTACCAATATGGTTAGGGTGTTATGACCCTGGGTCTCATGCCTTTTGACACTTGTCAGCAGAGCGTATCTGTAGATCGTAAAGAAACTCATGTCTTTTGTGAGATCCACACCCGGGTCGTCGGTCAGTCGGTGGCAAAGCGGTTAAGACGCTCGCCGACCATGCACATGGTCTGGGATTCGATCCCCGGCCACACGACGCACTCTTTTACCTCGCTAAGCCAGTCAGTAGTGAGGCCGGTAAAGCGGACAAGGTTGGGCATGAGGCTATCAACCAACTCCATCCTGTAAAAATTAACACTGCTACAGAAATGTCAAGCCTCTAGCTTTGAGCCTTATGTTTCACTGGGAACGTGAAGGAAAAAAAGAGAAGAAAAACATCTAGGTCACCCTGTGCTGTGACTAGAGAGAAGTTACCACAGCTACTTAGGCTCGCGACTGACTTCCTTTCAGACTATAATTGGTTACATTGATTGCGCCCTCAGTAGTAAGTAAGGCACTAATGTCATGCGTCTAGTCCTTCGTTTGGCATGGATTAAATTCTGCCAGTTAAATTTGCAATGTGGACACCATGCTAGGTGGCTAGCCATCAAGAGGAACTGTAAATGGTTGCCAAATGGTTGGAGGAGTTCGGGGTAGGGGAGTTATTGGTAAGAAGATTAGATACGCGGATAGCTTCATTTCCTTAAACTTACTTAAAAAACTGATGCGAACTGGAGAACGATAGATGGTTGGTTTTGTTGAAAATAGGTATTTAGTTTTGAAAGGGATTTATTCGATTAACTAGTGTGGATGAGTAGTGTGGTGAAGAGCTTATTAAGAGTTATCGTCTGAAGTAATGATTGCCAGGCATCACTGTTCTTTAATTTCATAAATAATGTACTGTGGACGTAACCATGACTGATTTCGATGATTGACCTGCTACTAGGTAAAGGACCCTTTATTATAAGTGTGCAGATAATATTGTCGTTTTTGGGAAAGGTGTTGACAAAATCTAGTTTACTGATCACTCAGGATAAGTATATTTGACATCTGATTCAATTTTATCGCTAAATAACATGATGCTTTAGGACTGGCATGCACTGACTTCTAGCTTGGAGATAAGGAGTTGAATAATTCGATGTTTTAACCACTTCACTTATTTGAAGAGTTGAGTCAGCCTTAATGAACTTTTTCTTTTTTGATTTACAGCTTGATTCCGCACTGTATTTTTGGTACAAGTATGGAATTTTCAGCATGGATATCGGTGGCCCAAATTTTGCAGGCCGACCATAGATATCAGGTGTGCGTCGGCGTGGGCTCGAACCCCGGACCATGTGCATGGTCGGCGAGAGTCCTAACCACTGTGCCACCGACGCAGTTTGTTGACGAAATATCAGCACGAATACAAAAGCTTCTCCGAGATTTTCAGCTGGCGTCATTGTTGGAGTCCCAGGGATATCCGGTTACCTATTAAAGGGTATGGGTATTACGGTTGAGAGGAACCAAACGAGAACCTATTGCCCAACAAATATGCCCAAGAAAATGGAGATGTATGAGACATACGCCGATGAGACTGTCGAATGATATCGAACTCCAGTCCCTCGAGTGGAATCCGGATGATAAATGGTGAGTTAGCCATGGGTCTGAGGGTGACATAGAGGAGATCGTGTGAGGAGGAGATGAGAGAGTGTGGACAACTGTAGAGTCATCTAAGGATCACCACAGAGAATAACAAAAAGTTGAGGTGTGCTGTTGAAGGCCTATGTTCCACGCAGAACCCAAGGGAACAATAATAATGTCTCTCATTCTTTACACTTGAGACATGAAAAGATTGGCGGTTTTAATCATGTCTTATGATATGCAGTGTAATATGGTTGGTAATAATTTAGTTAGGTGAGGATGGAAAGTCACTCGGTGACTTTGGGAAGCACCACCGATTGAAATGTCCCCTACTTTCATCGATGAGGATTGTTCAATAACATAAGACTAGATTTTAAGTGTTAAAGGTAATAATAATAATGATTTACTTTATTCCCAAAACAGTACTTGTGATACAGAATGGAATTTTCAGCATTAATCACAATATTGCATCTAGTATCCTCAAATTATGAATAAAGTTAATCACACAGAAAATTTTCAACATTTACAATAGGGGTAATGTCAGAAACATGCAGCATATAAAACGGAAATAATAATGGTAACAGCTAATGGTAATAATAATGCAGGTGAAAAATTGCCGTGGGCTTTTTACATACAGTATCGTCAACTCGGTATAGAAATCCTAGCATGTTTAAAAATATTGAATATAATGTTATCTTTACATGATATGGTGAGGGGAAAAACAAAGATTACAGCAGTCATAGAGATGAGTTGGTGTTTGCAACTATGAGAGTAAAACAAAGAAGCAATAAAACCATAAATATAATTAAAACAATAAAAGTAAAACTTGAAGGTATATAAGGATGGATGGAGGAAACTGTTTATTTACTAGATGAAAAAAAGTTAGTTAATTGTTGCCTGACACTATTTTCATCACATTAAATGCGCGCCAAGTATGGTATCATAGAATTTTTATACTTAGACGTGCGAGCATACGGTTTTCTGAAGTTACTTCTTGTTCTACCTGAGGAGATGCAAGGTGAAAGCTGAGGGTAAAGCGGATGTTCCAAGTCAGACAAATTCCCTTTAGCAAATTTATTGCATGAAGTCAAGTACCTGTCGACAACGACGTTAACTATGTGGTCCACTGGGACACTACTCACCCTACTGGCCGTTTTCAGCATTCTACGAATTGTGACATAGTCCTTTTTAAGCAAACCAGGAAAGAATAAGCAGGGGTGAACAATAAAGAAGAATAGGTAAGATGCAAGAGTTTATGAACTGTAAGAGGAGGGGTTGAGTTATACCCGAGTGCCTTAACTTCTTAATGTAAAATGTCAGGCGGAATATTTTACTGGAGATCGCTAAGACATGGGAAGACCAGAAGAGAGAATAAGTCCAAGATATCTAATTTCTGATTTGATTCCTGTATCATCGTCGTCAATCTTACAACTGTCATGAGAATCGATGACTTCTTTTAACTATCTTATACATCTTAAGCTGAAATTAACAGTTAGTCAGATGAAACTGATACATGAAGTCTTTAACTGTTGGTTTGAGTTACGCAGGGAAGTAAACCTTTCCTCTAACAGTTCAAGATGTTATGGATCAATGGTTGGTGAGATGGATCAAAACTGTTTTCACTTCTTTTACTTCTTGGTATCATACTGATTCAGTGAATCCTCACTAATCTTCCTGTAGTTATTATCTCTTCCGTTGTCATTTTAACTAAGAGTAAAATTGTTTCTAATACTAGTCTTCATGACGAGCTTAAAGAGCGGTCCGTTGAAACAAACAATCTCGAATTCGCATTTGTACAGGCTATATATCGACGACACCTTCATTAACGACGGTTGCTCAACTTGTGAGCTTAGAAAATTTAATGGTTCCCGCCCGTCGATGCTTTTCACTACTGAAGAAGAAGATGTGGTGTTAGATAGAAGAGAGGACTGCACGTCAAAAAGGTCGATTTACCGAAAGCCAACATTTACAGGTAAGTACACTAACTTCCACAGTTGGGTACCTACAAGTAGGAAGAGAAATCTCGTCCGTTCTCTGTGCTCCAGAATTCGGAAAATTTAATCTTTAGCTATAATTGACATTGAACTAAAAAGCCTTCATACAACTCCCCTAAATAATGGATATTCTAGAAGGTTTATTGACAGAAACATCAAGAAAAAAACCGTCTCCAGCCAAATCACAATACCAAAGAAGACACTGTTTATGAATTTGTCGTTCAAAGGTGACAGTGTTTCTTAAGTCACTAAAATTCGTTTATCTAAAAGCATCAAACGCTCTTTATATGCAGCTGACTTACATTTAGTGTTTACCAGCCGAAATATGAACCGACATTGCTTTAGGGATAAACTACCGCTTATGTCCATCTCTATGTGCATATACTCATTCCCATGCTCGTGTGTAGCTGATTACATTGGACGTTGTAAGCGTGTTCTTCGTAAACGCGTAGCTGAACGGTTTGGTTAATGGAAGGTGGGCATAGGACGACGAAGTCTTCATATTAGTTTGTTTATTAGATGCATCACACAGTGAAATAGTATTATTTACTGGTTGACGTTTCGAAAAAAATTTATTGTTCATAATCATATCAGTTATAATCACACGACTTCGAAATTTGAGTTTGAATAGGGCCAGCCACTAGTGAGAATTCAAGTAGGTAGTTACCTGGGTTCTAGTGGGAATTCGTGACCAGTAGGGTACAGCAGGTCCAGTATGAAGCCAAGTACGCGCCGAAGACATTGGCTAACGGCCGCGCCATATCGTGAATTGGCAGAAGTTGGAATTCATGGACTGACTGGCCATTGGATAGGGTTCCAGTGGCTTAAAGGTCTACGAGCTGTCATTGTAACTAGAAAGTCCTTGGTTCGAACCCTGGCGGTGGGTGCGTTCTGTCTAAGTGTCCCAAACTGGGCTGACGAATCAGCAGTCCAGTACTCTCAGGTTTTTCAGCGGTTCTCTAACCGATGTCAGCTCATGATGAAATCTTGTAACCAATCAATCAATTCCCTACAAACCAATAATTAATTACTATTTGTCTCACAGATATATGTTTATCACTTTCTTTTTTGTATGATTTTATAACATGGGGCAACTTGGACTGTTAGACTTTCGTGCAAAGTTCTGTCTTGAAAATTCAGTCGAATTTTGCTAATAAAGAAGTTAAAAGATTTTGTTGTTCGTTTTTTTTTTCATGTAAGGGAAACTGCTACTAGATATTTCCTATTTATTTTTTGGAATGTTCGTATCTGCTGATTATTATTAAGCGAATTTTTATCCTCCTGAGACTGTGTCAAGGCATTGTGTACTTATATTTCTTGAAAACTGATACTTCCTACTCTTGTTTTATTAGTTTACTTTTCTGTCTTGCTTTCTTTTTTTGGG